CATTCATGAGCACGCAGAGACGCCCTCACAGCTGTGTCTGGGAGACCACACCTGTGAACCACACCTGTGACGCCCCTCAACAAGTGTGTGTGGTTGGTGGGGCCGGCTGCTTAAAACATAGTTGCTCTACAGTAGTTCATAGCGGACGCCTGGCAGCAGCGACCACTCGTCTACTGCGGCAAGATGTATACATATCGACCCCCTTGTAGACCGACTAACGCTGTCTTGAACACCATCTATCTGATCAATATTTCACGTGTTATGTAAACCCTAACGGTACTCACGGAGATCTTACACCCTAGACAAACATTTAACTGTTAACCAGACAATAGTAAAAGCACGGTATATCAACACAAGTAATGAAATTCATGGAAAATAAATGACTTCGTCGAAAGAAGTAACAAGTGATAGTCGGCGCGCGCATTAGTTCTGAGTTCACCTGCACCAACCAAGAACCGGATATCGTAGGTAAAATATCCCCTAATTGCTCTCGTGTACACCTGACGTCAGAGAAAATTGCAATTAACCTCTAAAATACACTGCCCCGCGTATGCATTTAGGCTAATTTTCGGCGAATTGCGAGTGATGGTATCAATAATGAATGGTGTAGTGACGTCACGCTACGTCACGGAGGGTCGGCTCGGGATTGGTGGAGGGCCGCATGCTAGCACTTGCCATGCCACACGCACAGCCCTTTAACCCCCCCCCCCTCCCCCTGTCCTCTTAATAACCCCCCTCTTCCCCCTGGCCATTAAACCGGTACTGAAGGGAATATTTTATTGTTTTGTCGGCAATACATAGACTGACTCTCAAAAGCTGTTAATGGTAGTGACGGCAACACAACATCTTGTCGAAAACATGGTTAAATTTGTTTAATAGACAGTAAAGGGGAATTGTAGTGTCGTTAAGGACAGATTTAACGGTAGATGTTAATTGATAAATATAATTGAGATGTCGTTTTAGTTAATTAAATAAACATAAAACATTACTCAAACGCGTCAGTTAATCCAAGTAAAAACAACAATACATATTTACGTATCAACAACATAATCTAAGCACACACACACACACACACACACACACACACACACACACACACACACACACACACACAGATCAGACCACAGAACAGATACTAATGGAGATTTGTTATGTAGGAAGAGGAAAATGAGTAAAGAAGGAAAGGAAGAAAGAGAGAGGAAGATGGAAAGATAGAAAAAGTTGCAAAGAAGATTAAGAAGGAGGAGAATATTTCGAAAAAAAGAGGCGAAGAAAAAAAAGAGAAAGAGAAGAGAGATAAAGGAGAAATGGGAGGACAGGTAAGAAGATGGATGATGAGGGGAGGAGAGGAGAGGACTAGAGCATTCCGCCACGACACCTCAAGAATGTTGGCTCCTGCATGTGTCAAATTTTCCCGCGCTAAACTCTTTCCCGCGTAAATTATTTCCCCAAAAGCCCGGGAAACGAAAAGGGTGCGGACGAAAATTTTGTTGTGTGTTACTAAAATGGCAGTTGTGTTGATCGCGGAGCATCTACAGTGAAAAGTAAACAGAGCTTTAGGAGTTTGGGTATAAGGTGACGTCACAAGCCGTCTGGCAGGGTAGCTGGGCATGATGCCAAGACCGTACAAACGAACACACACGTTATTGTTGCCAGGTTTCCCCAGATACACACACTAACAGGTCACTACCCTACTTGCATGTATGCTAGGAGGCCACTTGTATATTTCTCTATTCCTTAATAAACACAACAAATATTATGTGAGTGAAAATTCATAAATGTGTAACAAACATTGATGAACGTTGCTTAAAAATTAGGTATTAAGCGCGAGGGAAGAGCGGGCAACCCTCCACCACTACGTCATCTTACATCAGCGACCAAAATGGAGGTGTACGTCACTTTACGTTGTGTTCCCGCCACTACCTGGCCAGACAGCAGCGCGCATACTAATAAGCTGTGACGTGGTGGAGGCGTGGGCGAACTGGTTCCTCAACACTGACCAATTACTTGTGATGCTCCGCCATGTTGTCGCTGTTGTTGTGGTGTTTACCCCCCCCCCCCCACGAACCCTCCCTCAGGTACAAGTGATCAGAAAAGCTTCTTATGTACACCAGGTAGGAGAGTGTGGCGAGGTGTGTTATTGTTTGGTAAGAGAGAGTCCCACAGCCCAGGGTTTAAACAAGGTTATTCATGACCATGTTAGAGCCACTGACCACACGCTCATGGTAATGTTACAACACCCAGATGGTTATCGTGAACCACCGTGTTTTTTTTTTATCATTAATCTCAATATGGCGAGTTACTGTACAGTTAGTTTAAGTTAGTGCCCCGTGGGAGTGTCAGGGAGTGTATCTTATAAGGGACAATCTCAGTACAGTCGACACGTGTATATATTTCTTGATGAGGCTGCAAGGATAACTGTCCGTGCACGTTTGGTATAAAAAGATGACTCGTATCACATTAAGATCACCAAACAACAACATGACTCCTGCGCTAGGCGGTCAAGGTACAAGACTCTTGTTATTGTGGCAACTGCAGGTGGAGCTGTTGCCAGACGCCACCAGCTGGAGTGTTGGCGATAAGATGACATCACCGGGCTACGTCACCTCACGTCATGGCTGTCTGGCCTAGCGAGTTTCGTAGCCCGGGTAGCATCCTCACCTCAACCATCTTAAGAAACAGTTTAGCCGCCGTTCATCTGTTTCTCCCTGGATAATGGCAGGAGTTAGGCCTCACATGGAGACCGCCGCAGTATTAAAGGTGATAGTCCATAGGAAGAGGTTTGTTGTTGTCACTCTTCATACAGCGACTCGCCTGCCCCAGTACATCACAGTCATAACGCCATCTTTACGTTATTATAGAAGAACACAGTAGAAATACAAGTGATATACGATATACACATCAAATATAACACGGGGAGGGGGGCTCTCTCGCACGATAAGAAAGACTTTAAAAGATGTCGTCGAACACAAGTAAGATTGTTAGCTTCCGTGAGGGGTAAAACACGCGGAAAAATGCTCACTGCCAGGCCAGAAACAGCCCAGGAGTAGCTAGTTGGCGAGGCACCACCTTGGCTAGCAGCAGGAGAGGCAGCCGTCAACACAACCTACCACAATGACATAACACCACTATTTTAAGGTCATCGTGGGCCTCATATAGACATGGCACCGAATTCTTTGGCAGCCTTCTCGGGCAAAATGGCCGGAGAGACATTAGTGTTGGCAGAGGTTGGTGCTGGGCTGAGCCGTGGCCCAGCATCATCGTCCCTAAATAGTGACTTACAGCTGGCGCCAAACTGAGGTAGTTTAGGGTACTGTTGTTGTCCTTCCTCGCCTGTACGTGTACCAGTGACTCCCACCTAGTGTGTCTCAGTGTACTAGTGGCCCCACCTAACGTGTACAAGTGGCTCCACGTATATTGTTAGTGTGTACTAGTGACCCCACGTGGTGTGTATCAGTGACCGCCTACACCAGGTGTAACACAGTAGTGACTGTGTGGTGCACACTCGTTATGGCTGGTTGTGGTGAGGCAAGCTCACAGCACAGTACAGTGTTGGTGGAGGCTGAGATGACAACATGAAGCTGGTCACACCAACAGCTGTGAGCCACAACACAGTGCAGGTGGTTGGGTGTGGCCACAAAAACTATGACTTTGTAAACACACACACACGTACACACACACACACACACACACACGTGCACAATCTCCTTCCTTCCGTTTTATCTTTCACAAATACAGAACGATAAAACTCGTAACAACTTCCGCCTCGGCGATAAGCGTTATCCTGGCAGGAACCTGGAGATAAGGTGAGCGATAACAGGTGATACAGTGCGACTCCCGTGGCCTTGGGCTTTGGCTCTGGCACATCTGTTCCTTCACTACACCTTGATTTTCGGAATTCCTTGTACGTACACACAGCACCGGGCATCACATACGTACACACAGCACCGGGCATCACATACCTACACACAGCACCGGGCATCACATACCTACACACAGCACCGGGCATCACATACGTACACACAGCACCGGGCATCACATACCTACACACAGCACCGGGCATCACATACCTACACACAGTTCCCTAGGAGAGCCAGAGTTCACTGTATCACAAAAGACCCGATAAAGTGAGGTGGTTGAAGGCGTCAACACTAACTGTACACATTACAGTAACTTGCCACCCCCAAACTCCACAGTCACCAAGTACTGGGCTCGACAACAGTTCCGAGAAACCCAGGGTTCGATATTTGTTATCTTGATCACACAGGTTAAGGTGTGATAGTGTGTGTGTGTGTGTGTGTGTGTGTGTGTGTGTGTGTTTTCTACTAACCATTCCTCTATGAACGACGGGCGACGACACCTCCCATGCATCAGGACACACTAACACACGGCCTTGTCACCAGTTACAGGGTGTAGGGGGTGATCTAATACAGGACCCCAACACTGGCTGGCGGGTGACACCACAACACTACTGGATTCCAGTACCAGCGGGTAACACAGCACTGGTGACCATCACAAGCCCCCGCCTCACCACCTCTCCCTCACTGCCAAGACCCCCACCGGTTGTGTAGGGTAATCACTTGAGTGGCGGGTTGCACTAGGTTAGGGTATCACTGGGTAAGGTAGGTCACTAGGTGGGATTGGCACTATGTAGAAAATGTCAAGTAGGGATCTCACTGGGTGGGGATGTCACCAAGTGGTAGTGTTACTAAGTTGAGGATGTCACTGTCTGGGGGTGTCACTGGGTGGGGATGCCACTAGGTGAGGGTGTCACTAGGTAGGGGTGCCACTTGGTGGAGGGGGGTGTGAGCATGCGAGGGGGAGGCCGTGGGGCACGTGTGGCTCGGGCGAGGGGGCAGCGGGCACTGGGGCAGGCAGGCAGGGCATCCGTGGGCAGGATTCACAACACGCGGTGAAAGCGGAAGGAGTGGGAGGGTATAGGGGCGGGGCTAGGCTAGGTCAACACTTGAGGGGGGCGGGGCAGCGGGGTGTACACCTACCTGTGATGGGGGGCGGGTCTGGGAGAGGCTCTATAGGCCCGAAGAAGGTCGGCATCTCTGAAGTAGTGACGGGAGTGTTGAGACATTCCTCCACAGTTCGGTCGTATATGGACACTGTAGGCAGGGGTGATGGTAGACACTCCCCGCTCTTGCCAAAAGTGTCAAAGCTCACCAAACTGAACTGCACGGCAGGGGACACCGAGTCAATGCCGTCCATAATCATATTGGAAAAGTTTAGTTCGTCTTCACTAGAAGTATGGGTGTCTTCAGGCTGTGGGTGAGTCGACCCCGAGCCTGATATGGTTGAAGGTGGCAAGCGCAAGAGGCAACGGCGAGCCCCAAGCGACCAAGATTCTTCCAGTGGAGCCAAGGTGACGGCAACTGGCACCTCCGTCCTCAACACTGCCACGATACTCACTGAACACCTCGCGGGTTTGTCCCGCCAGTTTTATGAATGGGACTAGTGCTCCTGGCCCAGCCAATCAGCGCGAGGTACCGTGACGTCACTGAGACGTCAGCTCTATGTTCTCCGTACTCGGGGAGCGAAAAGTCGATAAGTTGCAAGTTATTCAAATCCTGAGTGCGCAACCTTACGTTGCGGCTTAGTTATGTATTATTTTGTCTTTGTTAACACAACAATTGCAACAAAAATAAAAAAATAGACCATATTTAACCTTTATCAATGTGTTTGTTCTCCACGTGCAGTTGAAACCACGAGCGGTGTGTGGCTGCCACTACGTCACATCGCCGCGCGGCCTCATAACCATATTTGGTAACCCGACTCAGACCCGAGCGTAGCCGAATGTGTGACGTCACCCCCGCGCTTCTTTGAGTTTACTTTATCCTGTAGAGCAGTATGTAGGGTAGGTAGCCACTGTAGAGCAACTTATATCAGCTGTGTCTCACCTCCGGTAGTGCCAAACAGTGCCTACTTACTGCCGGGCCTGACTTGTGAGAAGTGCCATGACGAAGACACGGAGCTGACGGCAGCTGCCCACAGTTACACTGGCGCGGGCGACCACCACACCACCCCTTATACCTGACCAAGTCACGTGACCTGCAGGTGGGCGTGTACACAAGGCCCACGTGGGTGCCCGCCTCCCTCCTGCTTCAGCCCACCCCCATCACCTCCTCCAACAACACACGTTACTTCCTCATCCCCATAGCTATTTTTTTATTGACAAACGTTCCTTATCTAGTTACCTCTACCACCACTATTACCCCGCGCCACCAACACTACCAACAAATACTTCCTTTTTAAGTGTTTTTGCCTCGTTCATGCCACCACCACGACAACCACCAGCTCTCACAGTCACCCACACCACAATACCTACCGCCACCACCAACCCCCACCACCACAACCACCACCACCACAACCACCAACCCCAACCCCTCCAGCCACCACCACCAGCCCCACCACCACGACAACCACCAGCTCTCACAGTCACCCACACCACAATACCTACCCCACCACCAACCCCCACCACCACAACCACCACCACCACAACCACCACCACCACAACCACACCAACCCCCAACCTCCAGCCACCACCACCAGCCCCCACCACCACGACAACCACCAGCCTCACAGTCACCCACACCACAATACCTAACACCACCACCAACCCCCACCACCACAACCACCACCACCACAACCACCAACCCCAACCTCCAGCCACCACCACCAGCCCCCACCACCACGACAACCACCAGCCCTCACACAGTCACCACACCATACCTACCCCCCACCACCAACCCCCACCACCACAACCACCAACCCCCAACCTCCAGCCACCACCACCAGCCCCCACCACCACGACAACCACCAGCCCTCACACAGTCACCCACACCACAATACCTACCCCCACCACCAACCCCCACCACCACAACCACCACCACCACAACCACCAACCCCCAACCTCCAGCCACCACCACCAGCCCCACCACCACGACAACCACCAGCCCTCACACAGTCACCCACACCACAATACCTACCCCCACCACCAGTCCCCACCACCATCCCCACCCCACTACCACCATAACTCCTCACCACAATCATAACTACCACCATCATCCCCAAGAATTCTACCATCACCTACCACACTGACACCACCACCATACCCAATACCTCTACCCCACCACCCCCACCACTATCACAATCACCTACCACCAATACCTTTCCCACTACAAACCACCAACACAACCAAATTCCCCACCAACGCCCCCACCAACACCCCACCAACACCCATCATACACCCCACCAACACCCATCATACACCCCATACATACATACATACAAACATACATACATACATACATACATACATTGGTATTACCTTCCATCAGCTGTGAGTCTCGCGTGAATGAAATTTGTGGGCGGGCGTCAGTGTGGTCGTAGTAAATACCTCCTCGTGCTGTGTGTGTGTGTGTGTGTGTGTGTGTGTGTTATATCTTTGTTGTTTTATTATCTTGCCTATAAATACGGGGTTAACTATTGTTTAGAATCCTGTCTGTTTGTCTGTCTGTCTCGTTGTCTTTGCCTAAAACATCTCGGGAAGACTAAGCACGTATTATCAAGATGTATATGATAATTCTTAATGTATATCGTGGCACAATTGACCAAGAGTTGCCATGATAACTCTTAGCACAATAACACAAGAATTATTGGAGGTGAAAGAAAACGAGAACAGCGTCATGGTATCGGTTCCTGGATGGTGGTTGAACTATTTATTTTTACTTTGTTGATTTTTTGCTCTCTCTCTCTCTCTCTCTCTCTCTCTCTCTCTCTCTCTCTCTCTCTCTCACACACACAGGAACCTTTCAACAGAGAAAAACTGGAATTCTAGTTAACATTTCATTTGTCATTACAGTAGTGTGTTGAGGTCGCTGGGCTGTCTTTGTGATGCCGTAGACGTGTAGTAGTAGTAGTAAGGCGGCGTGGTCGTGAGTTGGAGTGTCTGAGGTAGTACATAGGCGTGGTGGTGGGTACAGGCGTGGTGGTGGGTACAGGCGTGGTGGTGGGTACAGGCGTGGGAGGTAAACTCTAATTTTGTTTTGAGTAAAAGGTTGTCCCTCACGTTACCTTATTGGCGATAGGTTCACGCGCGCCAGTGACGTCAGGTAGACGTCGACCAATCGGTACACAAGGTAATACATCTAGCGAACACGCTGACCAATCATTGCACGGTTGTGACGTCACAGTCGTAGTAGGTTTAGTAAACACGATACAATCAATCAATGACAAGGTGTGTGTGTGTGTGTGTGTGTGTGTGTGTGTGTGTGTGTGTGTGTGTGTGTGTACACGCGATGTAATCATGACAGTTAATGTAATTGGTTGTTTATTTGCTCATAATTTGGTGATGTCTAGTAATATATGTAGGTCGATATGTATGCATCCACACACACACACACACACACACACACACACACACACACACACACACACACACACACTCACACTCACACTCTTAATAAACCGTTAATTATTATTATTACACAGACACACAGACACGTGTTCAGCTTCCCTAAGTTGTGGCTCCAGATGTGTTATTCATGAACGACCCTCAAGTCAAGGTCGACCTTATGTGAGGGTGAAGTGTGGTGTAAGTGTTACTTGTGTATGATCTCTCTCTCTCTCTCTCTCTCTCTCTCTCTCTCTCTCTCTCTCTCTCTCTCTCTCTCACTATACCATGCTCAGTATACAGCTTTTCATTACCTTAAACTGACACCTTAAATACCTCTAATTAACACCTGTAATTACAAACTGCAGTGACTTTAATTAACATCCCTAATTAAAAATAGTAACACTTGTAATTAATGTGTGTGGGTGTAATTACCTTCAATTCCTACCTGTAATACCTGTGTTATTTTCTCCTTGCAAGTAATTCTTCGACAGGTAAGGTAAAGGCTTTTGTGAATGAGTCTTTACTATTATACTTACGAGGTCTTATGAATGACTGATTACTATGGTTTACTATAGTTTGTTTCGTCACAGTGGGAGGAGTGAGTCACATGGCGTCATAGTTTGTTTACTTCATATACACGATTAATGGAGCGATGATAGAGGGGTTAATGGGGTAGTGGTGCGAAAGAGACTAACCTAACCTAACCTAACCTAGTTGAGAAGAAATAAATATACAAGTTATTAATAAACTAGCACATTAAGGCGACAGATAAAGTAACTTATTTTATAGTTTAAAAAAAGAAGTATAATAAAGACACAATAAACTAATTAATTAAAATAAAATTACTTGCGGACAGATCAGATTAACCTTCAACACTTTCCCGTTTTTTCCCCAATATTCCTCCGGCCTTTGTTTACCAAATAAATTTAATCAGATACGAACGACTAAACTACAGCTTCATATTTACCTCGACCAATGACGTCCTCAGGCCCTGATAACGTCACGCTGAGTTTATACTATTAACTATAGAAACGCGATAATAACGCCCCGTAAAGGCCAATGTCTTATGAGTAGTGATGATGAGAGAGAGAGAGAGAGAGAGAGAGAGAGAGAGACATAAATAGAACTGGCCTCAAAACATGTATTTGAACTCACCAGACGAGATATAATGTTTATTGCACGTTATTCAGGTGAGGATGAGAGCTCCTTGAACCACGTGTTAAAGGGATCATTCTTATTATATTGGCGGGCTTTATTACGTAGTGAGTGCATAGTGTGTGTGTATAGTGTGCGTATGGTGGGTGTATAGTGTGTGCATATAGTATGCGTATGGTGGGTGTATAGTGTGTGTATAATGTGTATATAGTGTGTATGGTGGGTGTATAGTGTGTGTATAATGTGTATATAGTGTGCGTATGATGGGTGTATAGTGTGTATATAGTGTGCGTATGGTGTGTATATAGTGTGCGTATGGTGGGTGTATAGTGTGTGTATAGTGTGAGTATGGTGGGTGTATAGTGGGTGTATAGTGTGTGTATAGTGTGCGTATAATGTGTATATAGTGTGCGTATGATGGGTGTATAGTGTGTATATAGTGTGCATATGGTGGGTGTATAGTGTGTGTATAGTGTGCATATAATGTGTATATAGTGTGTGTATGGTGGGTGTACGTATAGTGTGTATAGTGTGTGTAAAAGGGCGGTGGGTAAAAATTGTACAGTGAGTGTATATAGGTATACACTGTAGTATGTGTGTGTGTGTGTGTGTGTGTGTGTGTGTCTGTGTGTATATAATGTGTATTGTGTATGTATAGTGTGTGTGTATAGTGTTGATAGCTTCTGTATCATTTGTATATATAATGGATATAGTGTGTTAATAGTGTGTGTGTGTATGTAATGGAAGTTAGATGTGCATAGTGTGTATAGTATGTATGGTGTCAATATGAAGTGTATAGTGTGTGTATATAGTGTGTGTGTGTGTATGTTTATGGAATGTGTAGATATGGAACAAATGTTTATTGAATGTGGTTGTAAATATGTCCCGGTTGTCGTGTGGTTGTCGTGTGGTTGTCGTGTGGTTGTAAATTTGCCGTGGTTGTCGTGTGGTTGTAAATATGCTGTGGTTGTCGTGTGGTTTGTAAATTTGCCGTGGTTGTTGTGTGATTTGTCATGTGGTTGTAAATATGCCCGTGGTTGTCGTGTGGTTGTAAATATGCTATTGGTTGTCGTGTCGTTGTAAATATGTGGCGGTTGTAAATATGTCGTGGTTGTCGTGTGGTTGTAAATATGCGTGGTTGTCGCGTGGTTGTAAATATGCTGTGTGGTTGTCGTGTGGTTGTCGTGTGGTTGTAAATATGTGGCGGTTGTCATGTGCGGTTGTAAATATGTCGTGGTTGTCGTGTGGTTGTAAATATGTCGTGGTTGTCGTGTGGTTGTAAATATGCCGTGGTTGTCGCGTGGTTGTAAATATGCTGTGGTTGTCGTGTGGTTGTAAATATGTGGCGGTTGTCATGTGCGGTTGTAAATATGTCGTGGTTGTCGTGTGGTTGTAAATATGTCGTGGTTGTCGTGTGGTTGTTTTTGTATCAA